GGGGGGGGTAGCCCTCTTTTCCGCGACATTTTTTTGTTTTCCCCCCGGGGGTATAAGGTTTCCCGCCCAGCCGGGGATCACAAAGGTTCGGGAAAAATTTTTGGATAAAGAAACCCCCGGAAAGTTGGAACTTTTTTTGGGGGTTTCCCCCCCCCCCCCCCCCCCCCCCGTCCACATAACGCCAAATACCACAACAACGCCAAATTCGCGATCTTAAGAGACGACGGCACACTCAAAGTGCTCCAGCATGCTCAGTTTGGTGGGCGGTCATCGACGTTCGCCAGATTTTTGACCTTATTTTTGTACGCGTTTTCGGCTCTGTTCTGTGCTCCGCAGCGTACAAGTATGGAGTCGAGGGAGACGAGGACAGCAGTGATGGCGCCGTCTCCGCGGTCACGTCCGCGGGCGACATCAAGAAATCCAGGGGTTTGGTAGAGGCGTGGCTAGAGGACGCTTTCGTGTCCTACCTTCGGGAGGACGCCCTTCTCTTCGTGTGGGATCACCTGTTCCTGCTAGGGTAAGTGAAAGGGTCGAGGGAGGGGGTGAGTGGTCGACAAATGGTTGTGCTAGATTGTGCTGCTCCACTGCGTACTCCTAGAGCGGTGAAATGCTGGCAGGGAAAGGTCTTTCTGGTTGGGTCATCATTGCTTTGATTACAAGGCACCGCAACGACAAAGATGCTCTAAGTCCTTTCGGTTCCTCCTAACCTCCGACTTCTGCGCCTTCGCCCCATCCCTTCCCCAACGGCCAACCAATGACGACACGTTACATACATTACATTCAACAGGTGGGAGGAGCAACTTCCTCTCTTTGTTGCGGACGTCGCGCTCCATCTTCGTGCAAGCCTCCTTCGAGCGAGCAACCCCGTTACGCTCCTGAGCCTAGCCCGCGACGCCTGTCGCAGGATTTGCACGCGGGACATCCGCGACGCGTTTCGCAGAAGAAGGAGGAAGAGAGCGCCCGCGAAATAGGACGACACATTACATGTCGTTTCATTGCACCGCAAAGAACGGGAACTCAAAAGATCTCCCAACAGACAGCAGGGTGCGGTCCAAATCAATAGCAATCGCCTGCTCACTATATTTCCGTGTCGTTGTGTGCTGTACTGGAGGTCGGTTCTTATGTGGCATCCGTGCGGTCCGCAGCAGCTGGCGTATCAAGATCGCGGCACAACTCTTCCTCCGCTGAGAACCCAAGCACAAGCCCCCGCCTCAACATCATCCCCGTCTGTAAGATTTAAGATTTCCACAAGATTCCTCGTAAGGAAGTGCCCTCAAAACCTCTGGACTTGTCGACAGAGGACGGGATGACACAGCAATGTGCAAGTGTCGTGAGTCGGTGGTTGGGTGAACTGCTGTCGGTCGCGTTTTCGACGAGCAAACCACGTTCTTGTGTTTCTCTTCTCTTCTCTTCTCTTCTTTCTCGGGGGGAAGACTCTGCCAGGGCCGACGGGGATCCTCGTCCTTAACCAGATCTCCAGCCTCGCCAGTGTCACGGGGTCCCGAGCTGGCAACCAACAGGCAAGGAGTTGGACGACGTCTGACGGAGATCGACGTGATTCTTCTCTCCATCGAACAAATACGAAAGTGTGTACGGTACACACAAACATAGATGTGTTTCGTGTTGACTATTAAATAACCTTTGGTGCCTCGCCAAAAAATGGCGGGGCTGTGTAGATTTACTATTAGCTAAATCTCCCGCAACCTGGGCAAAAGGGCAAAGCAGACAGCCACCCTAAAGGGCGTTTGTCACGAAGGTGCGCAAGACTACAGCAGTAGTAGTAGTTTCTGAAGGGCGTCTCGACCAAGACAAAGACTCACACTCCCCAAGAGGAAGACACCCATCCAGCGCGACTCTCATCATTATCATCATCATCATCATGCGTGAGGTGTTGTGCGAACGAACCTGTATCGTAAAATACAAACCACCACCACGTACTACCCGTACGAGCACCGAAAGGTCTCACATTTGGGAAAGGACGGGTCTTCAACTCTCCACCCCCTTTTCCGAAATCTTGGGTGCCTATGACATGATGCACCAACAACACCTAGTATACATGTGCTTTACCAACAAACATCGACCGGTGGCGAGAAGGAAAAGCAACAGCTCACACGCGGCGCGCACAGCGCGACCAATCCTGGTCAGCATCAGGGAAACCACAACCCTACCGCCGCAGGAAAGAAACGATCAACCCTATCGCCGCAGGAAAGAAACGATCACCAACATTCTACACCCATCTATCCTACACACACCACAAACCCTCACTAATTGGCCGATTGGCTCCACTCGAAACCAAGCGAAAAGGGTCTTTTTTGATCGTGGTGACAGCGCAGCAACACGCGCGCGCGCACCGAGAGACTTCGCAAAAGCCAGACTAAAAACACGCACATAGAACATGAAAGAAACGAAACGACAAACATTCCGCCGCCTCCACGGCATACTTACCGCCGTCGGAACCAGCTGCGCTTACCCTCTGGCTCGGGCAGGGGCGTAGAAAAAAAACTAAAAAACACGCCAAGATCACCGGGCACACTCAACTCAAGAAAAGGCTGGCTCCTTTCCGCTCCTTTCCTCTCACGGAAGGACGAGCCACATCGTCCGTCCGACCCCCCCTCCCCCGCCCCCGCAGACAGACCTACTGCAGTCACAACAAGACACCTCCACCAACCGCAGAGCACCCGCTGCTGCCGAAGACGGACACGATCCACCACAGCCGGCCTAACACCACGCGTCGCAGAAGCCAAAAGCGGGCACGCACCGCCAGCGGCGGCAACAGCAAGCCCCGTCAGGCCGAGAGACCTCCCACCGCGCTGTTCCGCCATTGCCAAAGGTCCCGAGAGATCCCGACAGCCGACGCGCCGCCATTTGCGTAAGGTCGCGGGACCCCCCCTCCTCCGAAAATGCCTGTAGCCTACACGACGACTATAACCCTAGGCCGCCGCACGCCTGCAGTAGCAGTAGCATCCTCTCCGCTTATTTCTTCTTGCCCTTGCCCTTCTTCTTGCCGCTCGCCTTTTTCTTGGCGCCGCCGCCGCCCAAGCCCTTGTGAAGGTCGATGGCGAAAGAGTCGAGGGCGTCCTTGGCTGCCTGGTCTCCGAGGTCGTCGCCGCTGTCCTCCGACACGTGACCGGCGCCCTTGCCCTTCTTCTTGCCCTCACTTCACACAAAAAAAACACACAAAAAAAAACGCGAACGATGAAACACAAATAAGTCAATAAACAGCAGTTAACAACACAGGGGGTGGACAAAAGAAGTCGTGCTTGTTTCCGTCGCCGTGAAATAAGAAGAGTAGATAACATCGTAGGTCAACACATATGACATCATGACATCGATTGGGACGTCGAGACGTGACCAGCGCTCTTGTTCTTCTTGCCCGCGCTTAATAAATAACAAAACAGGGGACAGACAAAAACAACGGGTTCGTTTTGGACGTGAAATAGAGAAATAGAAATACGGACATCGAAGATCAACGCACATGATATCAATCGGTGCATCGGTTTTCGATTTCGCTCATTCAAAAAGAGCGAAAATAAACGAAAAAACATACTTCTCCTTGGTAATCTTTCATAGTTACTTTAGTCAGAAAACCTGGTCGCAGCAGAGACAAAATGTCCAAGCGGGCAATCGTCGACACACCCAGGTGTGCAGAGGGAAGGAAACAAAAAAAAAAACGACAAAATCCTAGCACACGACCAGTGTAAAAAGCACGGGATATCACTCAACATGCCAACCGGACGTAAGTGAAAGAACGCACCGGTTCTCACCGAAAGACGGAATAATGTTTCGTTCTCTGGCCGGAAGTGCCTTCTTGTGTTTTGCGAATTGAGGAAGAGCGAGAGCCTGTGTTGCCACCCACCCCTTTAGGGAATAACTTCTTTTCTTTTTCCAAATGCCAACGAGAACGATACAAAGCACGGTGGCAGCTGAGGTCTTCTTCTATTCCGCGCGCAATCTGCTTCGCCGCTGGCGACTCGCGGTTAGAGACGGTTCGCGCCGATTTCTGAGTGGCCTTTGCAGACCCACGACGGTGATCCAACATTCCAGCGATTTACATGGAGCAGCGAAAGTGACCACATTAGCCTGTTGGGAACGGTCTAGCCTATCTTTCAGCTCTCATGGCGCGGCCAACATGCATGAGCTAGCTGTCGCCGCAAATCTGTAGAGCTCTTCCGCAGATCGGGCAAAAGACTGCACGACTTGCGCCCTGTCACCAAGAAAAGACGTGCTTTTGTACTCTCCAGGTTTACACCGAGGGCCAGAATATCATGAGAGTGCATCAATGTCCGCTCCCAGCTTAACACCCCCTTTGCCTTTTTTGCCACTCATGTAGCGGCTTCGCGGCATGTCCACAGCACGTTGGCTGTACCTGGCATGTCCAACATGCTGTTGGGCATGAAGCCGCTAAGTGAGTCGCGAATGTAAAGGGGCCGGCAAACGGGAACCTGACTTTGAAGCACTAAAAATAGGCAATAATGCAAGTGCGTTCAAAGTATTCTGCTGTTATAGTTTTGTGGCAAGCCGTGGTCTGTGCCAAGAGTTCTATCAGAGGGTCACGGAAAATGAGAGGAATGTACCCGTTCTCAAGTTGACGATTTTGTTTTTTTCCGTGGAGTACAACTCAGGTGGAGAGGGAGAGAGGGAGAGAGAGACAAAAGACAGGAGAGGGAGAGCCAGACAAAAGGCAAGAGAGGGAGAGCCAGACAAAAGACAAGAGAGGGAGAGCCAGACAAAAGACAAGAGAGGGAGAGCCAGACAAAAGACAAGAGAGAGAGAGAGCCAGACTAAAGACAAATAAAAAACAACGGGGAGAGAACTCGAGTCAGAGCAGAGCGATCGATCGATGACCGACGACTCACTTCTTGCGGGAGCAGTCGTTCTTGTGGCCCTTGGACCAGTCGCTCGCTTGGCACTCGTTGCCGCAATACCACACTTCGTTGCACAGGGAGCACTGCTTCACCTGGCTGCGGAGCTTAAGCTGGTTGCCTGCGAGGCGAGTTTGAAAAAAAGAAAAAAATGAAAGAAAGAAAGGGGGGGACGCACTCTGTATGTATTGCATGCATGCCCAAGCTGTTGTTAAGACGAGTGACCATGCGTCGACAGAAAGGGGCGGAGCGTTGTTCCTACAGACAAGATTTCACCGATGGTCAATGGTTCGGGGGGGCGGCAGGTACCAAGGGTAGCGTGTGAATTTCAGCTCGTGCGCTTCAAGAGGTACTGTATGCGTACAGGGCACTCTTTTTTTTTTTTCCCGCGCTGTTAATGCGAAGGTAAAAATTGTCCGCTCCCATTTGCCGCGGGGTGTGCAAATGTACCATCGAGCATGCGTCTCTGCGTCGAGTGGACACGTGGCTGGATGGCTGGATGGCTGGATGGCTGGATGGTGCGTGTACACAGCGTGTGACGTGCTCGACGTGCTCCAAAGACGAAGATCGGTTCGGCGTGTCTTCGTAGTTCCGCACACGGAAGAAAAGGAAGCGCATTGGGGTCGCAGTTTGCGCGTCTCTCCATGTATTGTAATATGGAACATTTAGATCGCCGGTATCGCCTCATGGTCTTGCCCCCAGGCGGCCGACAACACCAAAAAAGTGGCGCACACGAAATCGAATACGGCCAATTTCGTGCGGCATATGTGTGACGGCAAACAACGCCAACGCCAACAACGCCACAGAAGTGGCGCACACAAAATCGGATACGGTCAACTTCGCGTGGCATGTGTGACGGCAACAACAATGTGGGCCAACAACAACAACAACAACAACAACAACAACGCCAACAACGCCGCAGGAGTGGCGCAAACAGAACGAATACGGCCAACTGCGTGCGGCATGTGTGACGGCAACAACAATGTGGGCCAACAACAACAACAACAACAACAACAACAACAACAACAACAACGCCAACAACGCCGCAGGAGTGGCGCAAACAGAACGAATACGGCCAACTTCGCGTGGCATGTGTGACGGCAACAACAATGTGGGCCAACAACAACCCACTCACATCCCTTGCAGGCCATCATCTTTTCGGGGATCTTCCTCTTCTCTTTCTCGGGGTCGGCGATGTACTTCTCCTTGCCCGACGCGGTACGAGACTTGACCTTGAACGCGGCCTCGTCCGACATGTTGTCTCCGATCGGGAGCTTGCGCTTCGAGTTCGCCTTGGTCAAGTCACTGAGGAACAAATATAAAAAAAGGCGGGGGAATAAACGCAAAACGTGAGACAGTCAGACTTCCACGCAGTGTTCCCATGGTGGCGTCGAGAGGCCGAGGCTCGCCAAACCACGAAGTAGAAGAAGAAAAAAAAAACGCCTCGAAAGAGTTGAAACCGCCAAAAAAAAACTACGTATACAGCACAGCAGTCTTCTTCAAGGCGGAGGCTTCGACGAGAGACACGCCGAGTCTTTCTTTGCCAGCGGGAGAGGGCCTGAAGGCCAAGCAGGTCTCAACGCCAAACAGGCCTCAAGGCAAAAACACATACTGTTGTTGCTGTTGTGTTGTTGCCCTTGTCCTTGTCTTCACATTAAAAACCGTTCCGATATCTTCACCTACTAATAGTACCTTCATCTGTCCGTGCTGATCAAACACTTGACGCGGTCGATTCCCGTGGCCTTCCCACGCCACTGTACACAACTCACATGAAGAAGTCGGCGTAAACGCCGTCCATGATGGCGATGAGGGGCGACTCCTTGGTCTTGGCGTCGGAGTCGGCGTTGACGACCTTGTCCGACGAGGCCGCCACCGAGACGCGGGTGCCCTCCAGCAGCGGCGACAAGAAGTTCGCCAGGAGCGGGTCGGTCGTGGTCAGCTGAGCCGGCCGGATACGCACCGCCTAGAGGTGCGGGTGTAATCGATGAGTTGTGATGAAGCAAAGACGCGAGTAGGGGGGGGGAAGGGGGCGACGACAGCGTCCGAATATGAGCAAGGATCGATGGGTATGGGTATGTATGCACATCACCAAGGTCCGAGCGATTGGAGTACGAGCAAGGACGAATGGATAAGCACGTCACTAAGGGCAGGCGAGTCAACACGCAGTCTACAAGCTCTGTCTTCGGCTCAAGAGAAAGAATAAGAGGAACCCGCGCTAAACGCGTGGACGGCGAAATAGGTACATCAGCCGCAGCAACAGCAGCAGCAAACACCAAAAACCTAAACCTGGCGGACACTCCACAGGCCAAGCTGTCGACCCCATCCGATCAGGCCGACCCCGCAACCACGGAGCGAGCCCACTCCATCGGGCGCCTCGACAAAAAATCCGTGGAGCCCCACCCCTACGCACAGGCGTTACGACACTGCAACGCACGGCTCTGCGAATCCCACATCCATCCAAACATGCGAACCACACCCGGTTTCAGTCTTCCTTCGCATACCTCTTCGATCATGCCCATGCCCTCGGTGACCACTCCCATCACGATACCCTCGAGCACGTGCATGAAAGCCTTGTCGGCCTGCGTCTCCTCGATGGGGAAAGAGTGGAACACGTAGCGGCTCGCCGGGGCGATGAGGATGCACAGGTAGGGAGCCTTGTCGTGCGGGGCCGGCAGCCTGTGGTGAGGATTCGAAAGTGGAGGAGATCTGATTAGGTTGGTTTTGGTTCGGTTTTGGTTCCTTTCGGTTGGTTTGGTTTGGTTTGGTTTGGTTTGGTTTGGTAATGATCTGATGAGGTTGGGCTTGGCGCCTCTCTCGATACATTCGGTTTAGGTTCGAGTATTGTACGGTTTGCTGACATGCCGTAAGGTTTTGGCCGGAATACCGTGAGGGTATATAGTATATAACCCAAGGATGCAACCACTCTGCCAAAAAAACGAGCACAGCGGGCGCGACGTTGAACACCGTACAACCAAGTTCCGGGACACCTTTTAGGCTGAAACGGATGTAGGGCGGGCGTTCCACATGCTACCGCGGCGGCATGTGCCGTTCGGGGAACCACTACCCTACGAATTGGCGAATTCTGTGAGACGGTGATGGTGCACACGTCGTCAGTGAGAAAAACACGAAATCGATACATCACTGACCCGGCAAAAACGGTATAGTCTATCATCCACTCAACCAACCACACACCAACAGAAAGCACTCACCGTCCCCAACAACCTATCCGTAACCGACAGACCGGTCGAACAACCTATCCGTAACCGACAGACCGGTCGAACAACCTATCCGTAACCGACAGACCGGTCGCATTATGGGGGTACAAAATGTTGGCCGCGGGTCACGTCACTCCCCCCCACCGAGGCAGGCGAGCAAGCACGGGTGCATGCATCACGTCTACACATGGCACTAAAGCCCATGCTCACCTCCGGATCTCGACGTGAAGGCGAGAGTCCTGGCCCGTGGCGTTGGTCTTCTTTACCGGGATCTTCAAGAAAGGGGCCGCCAAACTCTCCTGCAAACCCCAGCCCACCCGGTCGGCAAAAGAGAACGGAATCGGTGACGGGCTAGTAGACTTTTTTGCCTTCCCATCTCTCTGAAGAAAGAGAGGTCACTTACGAAGCAAACGGTGGAAGACGTCCCAAGACAATCCTCCGACAAGCAACCAACAAATCACCCCAAACAACCACAACGACAGCAACAACAGCAGTAGCAGTAGCAGCAACAACGACACCCACAACCACAACAAACTACCCAAACAACAGCAGCAACGGCGCAACAGCAGCAACACAAATACGGCGAGACGACTACATCGCGAAAATGCTTCACACAGGCAAAAAAACAAGCAAAGGACAACAAGCACTGACTCACCGCATACGTAAGGCCCTCGGGCTCCTCCTCCTGCGGCTTGAGCGGGTTGCCCGGGGTGAAGAGCGTCAAGCACTTGCAGTTCGACCCGACGGCCTTGGTCAGGGCCTCCAGCATACCCGCCTCCGTCGCCACGGCGTTCACCTCCTCCGTCGCCTTGTCGAGATCCGCCTGGACAACAAAAAATTCGTCCCGACCCGGCCGGAGGGGGGTTACATTACATTGAATGCAGCGACACCGCCAGAGGGGTAGGAGGGGGGAGCTGGCTCACCCTGAAAGATACTCCGCTGTTTTGAGATGAGATCGACTTCTCTCTGCGGTCTGTGCAAGTCTCACCTAGAACGCTATCACTAGCGAGGTTCGAGGGGGGGAGGGGGGGGGGG